ACCAGCTTCACGTGTCAGGGAACGAGTGGGCTTGTACAAGAATGCAACAAAAGTGCGATACTTCTCGATTTATGCGTGTCATCCTTGCGCAGGGGCCATGCTAATCTTCTCTGTATCGTTCCAATTTTTACGGATGACCACCGAAGTGGTTCCTATCTACTGGCCGCACCGCGCGCTATTTAACATCAATAGGGACCACATGTCCAGAACCACTTCGGCCACAAGTGAAGCCTATACGTGTATTCAGTAGCGGCGTATCTGCAAATGCACTGTCTGGCTGCATTTTGGCCCGAGTTGTTGAGATGAGCGCGCCACGTTGATGCACATGGGGAAGACATTAAAGTCGACAGCTGTGAGATTCGAACTCACGCGGGTTGCCCCATTAACTTAGCAGGCTAACGCCTTAACCACTCGGCCAAGCTGTCGCCCTCGAACTCGACAAATGCGAACATTTCTACAAATCAAAACCAACCCTTTTGAAGCAACATCTCAACATAGCCAGAACGCGGCAAAAGTGTACTGACCTACCGTCATGACAGCCTCAGATCTTCCGTGCTACCACGGTCTGCACACATATATGTACACCGGCATATTGTTAGCGTTTGCCACTTCACTGCCCTACGCATGGAAGCTTTCAACACTCCGAGACTGAACACTCGCTATCGGCTCGCGCCATCGTTCAAATCCAGCATCGAGAAGCTTCTGAATAGATGGTATTCTTTCACAACGACATACCGGTAGGGTACGTATCTTCCCTTCGTACCTATTAATCGGGTTATAGCGAGAGTGAATTCAATTGGTCGCCATGTACAGCACATTTTAACCATGTCATCCAAAAACCGATGCTATATCCTGCATCACCAACATACAGCTGATTGTGTACATCCTCGAGAGGCTCTGTATCTTAGCTTTCCTTTGTTCACTAGTAGGCTGCTGCTTAGAAATGTGGGAATCCTTCAGCGACTAATGGCCTCGCGCAAAGGAGCATGCAAAAGGAAAGCGTGGAGATGCGTGCAGGCAAAAGATGAGCCCCCAGGCGGGATCGAACCACCGACCTTTCGCTTACGAAGCGAGTGCTCTACCACTGAGCTATAGGGGCATTATGGAAGAATGAACTACGTAAACACTTCAAACTGCCGTGCGTAGGAACACGGATACCTGTCGAATCCATACACAATTGATCGTCTCCTACACGATGTGAGGTTCTCAAAGCGCCATCAGATACTGGCCGATGTGTTACTCCATGGAGCTCGCTTCGACACCGCTATGGGCTGTTTGCCACCAGCGAAATTGTCGCACAAAGCAGGTTATGGCTAATTGACGTTGCTCGTTCCTCTGTTTTTAGTGCGGTATGTTGGTGGAGCGTCGCTATGCGCGATTATTGTTGTATTCGAGGAATCCGTTGTGAAGGCATAGCAGTGGGGGGAATAGCTCAGTGGTAGAGCGCTGGATTCCAGACCCAGCGGTCGGGGGTTCGATCCCCTCTTCCCTCATGCGTTACTCTTTCACTGGTGCACTTGCACTTCGGGTCGAGCGCTGAAACAAGTAGACTACATAGTCATGTACCAGCTTCACGTGTCAGGGAACGAGTGGGCTTGTACAAGAATGCAACGAAAGTGCGATACTTCTCGATTTATGCGTGTCATCCTTGCGCAGGGGCCATGCTAGGAGAGCGCGGCACGTTGATGCACATGGGGAAGACATTAAAGTCGACAGCTGTGAGATTCGAACTCACGCGGGTTGCCCCATTAACTTAGCAGGCTAACGCCTTAACCACTCGGCCAAGCTGCCGCCCTCGAACTCGACAAATGCGAACATTTCTACAAATCAAAACCAACCCTTTTGAAGCAACACCTCAACATAGCCAGAACGCGGCAAAAGTGTACTGACCTACCGTCATGACAGCCTCAGATCTTCCGTGCTACCATGGTCTGCACAAATATATGTACACCGGCATATTGTTAGCGTTTGCCACTTCACTGCCCTACGCATGGAAGCTTTCAACACTCCGAGACTGAACACTCGCTATCGGCTCGCGCCATCGTTCAAATCCAGCATCGAGAAGCTTCTGAATAGATGGTATTCTTTCACAACGACATACCGGTAGGGTGCATATCTTCCCTCCGTACCTATTAATCGGGTTATAGCGAGAGTGAATTCAATTGGTCGCCATGCACAGCACATTTTAACCATGTCATCCAAAAACCGATGCTATATCCTGCATCACCAACATACAGCTGATTGTGTACATCCTCGAGAGGCTCTGTATCTTAGCTTTCCTTTGTTCACTAGTAGGCTGCTGCTTAGAAATGTGGGAATCATTCAGCGACTAATGGCCTCGCTCAAAGGAGCATGCAAAAGCAAAGCGTGGAGATGCGTGCGGGCATAAGACGAGCCCCCAGGCGGGATTGAACCACCGACCTTTCGCTTACGAAGCGAGTGCTCTACCACTGAGCTATAGGGGCGTGATGGAAGAATGAACTACGTAAACACTTCAAACTGCCGTGCGTAGGAACACGGATACCTGTCGAATCCATACACAATTGATCGTCTCCTACACGATGTGAGGTTCTCAAAGCGCCATCAGATACTGGCCGATGTGTTACTCCATGGAGCTCGCTTCGACACCGCTATGGGCTGTTTGCCACCAGCGAAATTGTCGCACAAAGCAGGTTATGGCTAATTGACGTTGCTCGTTCCTCTGTTTTTAGTGCGGTATGTTGGTGGAGCGTCGCTATGCGCGATTATTGTTGTATTCGAGGAATCCGTTGTGAAGGCATAGCAGTGGGGGAATAGCTCAGTGGTAGAGCGCTGGATTCCAGACCAGCGGTCGGGGGGTTCGATCCCCTCTTCCCTCATGCGTTACTCTTTCACTGGTGCACTTGCACTTCGGGTCGAGCGCTGAAACAAGTAGACTACATAGTCATGTACCAGCTTCACGTGTCAGGGAACGAGTGGGCTTGTACAAGAATGCAACGAAAGTGCGATACTTCTCGATTTATGCGTGTCATCCTTGCGCAGGGGCCATGCTAATCTTCTCTGTATCGTTCCAATTTTTACGGATGACCACCGAAGTGGTTCCTATCTACTGGCCGCACCGCGCGCTATTTAACATCGACTTGGACCACATGTCCAGAACCACTTCGGCCACAAGTGAAGCCTATACGTGTATCTAGTAGCGGCGTATCTACAAATGCACTGTCTGGCTTCATTTCTGCCCGAGTTGTTGAGATGAGCGCGGCACGTTGATGCACATGGGGAAGACATTAAAGTCGACAGCTGTGAGATTCGAACTCACGCGGGTTGCCCCATTAACTTAGCAGGCTAACGCCTCAACCACTCGGCCAAGCTGTCGCCCTCGAACTCGACAAATGCGAACAATTCTACAAATCAAAACCAACCCTTTTGAAGCAACACCTCAACATAGCCAGAACGCGGCAAAAGTGTACTGACCTACCGTCATGACAGCCTCAGATATTCCGTGCTACCATGGTCTGCACAAATATATGTACACCGGCATATTGTTAGCGTTTGCCACTTCACTGCCCTACGCATGGAAGCTTTCAACACTCCGAGACTGAACACTCGCTATCGGCTAGCGTCATCGTTCAAATCCAGCATCGAGAATCTTCTGAATAGATGGTATTCTTTCACAACGACATACCGGTAGGGTACGTATCTTCCCTTCGTACCTATTAATCGGGTTATAGCGAGAGTGAATTCAATTGGTCGCCATGCACAGCACATTTTAACCATGTCATCTAAAAACCGATGCTATATCCTGCATCACCAACATACAGCTGATTGTGTACATCCTCGAGAGGCTCTGTATCTTAGCTTTACTTTGTTCACTAGTAGACTGCTGCTTAGAAATGTGGTAATCATTCAGCGACTAATGGCCTCGCTCAAAGGAGCATGCAAAAGCAAAGCGTGGAGATGCGTCTTGCAGGCATAAGACGAGCCCCAGGCTGGATTGAACCACCGACCTTTCGCTTACGAAGCGAGTGCTACCCACTGAGCTATAGGGGCATGATGGAAGAATGGACTATGTAAACACTTCAAACTGCCGTGCGTTGAACACGGATAAATATCAGCAGATCCATGAACAATTGATCGTCTCCTACCCAAAGTGTAGTTTTAAATACAAATGTGTAAATCAGTTATCTATTCACCGCTCATTTGTGCGTCTGTCTTGGCGCGTCTTCGTTGGTTGATATAATGCGCCGCTATCCACTCTCAATTTAGGAGGCTACTCGTAAGTGCTGCAGAATATTTGTCCATATGACAATATTCCGAGGAATATAACTCTCATAATTTATATTCTATTGGCAGATTTCTTATAAGTTGTTATCTTAACGATGAACCCCCGGTACATGTAGTGCTTCTTCATTTTGCAACTTTTGATCAATCAGCTTTGCAATACTCACCATGAAACGAAGTCTGCCGTTAGATTGTGCCACACTCTTTGTGATGACATAAAACTTATATCTAGCAGCGATTGCCATACTTGGAGTCAGCAGTATAGTTTTCGTGACGGTTTGTGTTCACATGCCACATCGTCCAAGCCAAGAGCATCACGAAGGCGCGCGACAATGGGTAGCACAAAAACAATAAAAAAGCACAAGACCGAACCTTGGACTAAGCAGCTCAAGGGAAATCGTAGTCACTACAGCTTATTTTCAGTGTGGCACATTTATTTTACCGAAGAATGCGAGTACGCTTCGCAAAACACTATTGCAGACGACAGAAACCTAAATGTGGAGACGTTACATGCTTCATCCACAAGTTTAAGCCTACCAGGAAGGACAGGAGGGCTATGATTTTTTTGGTGAAGCGATAATGTATTTGAAACGTGTCTTAAGACACGCATCATCTTTACAGTTCTACGCGGACACGATTTGCTGTGCTGTCAATGATACACGCACGTTGCAATATCGGCAATTAAGAAAACGAACACTCACAACGACATTTATTACCAAGTGTACCCTTTCCTGTATGCTTTATTGGGCAAAAGTCATGTGGTTCTTTACGTCGTCCGGGAATTTTTTCATGTAGAACTTGTTGTAGTCCTTCTCCATTTTCTGCACGATAGACGACACGTCCATATCTAGAGTATTCCTGGTGGCCTGCTTTCCCTCACCCAGCATTTCCTCGATGTAAGGAGCGAGATCTCTCGGCGCTATATTGTCATCATCCGCCCACATGTGATGTAATTCCATCTCAAGGTTCAAAACATCGTGATTCTCTTCTTTTGCTTTACGAAGCAGAAGTCCAAGGATATGGTCACCCTTAAGCATTGACATCAGGTACTCAAACGTGTTTACGGATGAATCCGGATGTTTCTTGTTAAACAAGCCGATGAATGTCTTCATCGTGTCCACAACGGTATAAGCAAGGGAGCCTCACGCCTACTGACTTGTCGATGGTCCACATGCCCTTGAAGACGTCGTCCACAGAATACTTTTTGCCTACCAACTGCTGCAGTAGCTCGGTTTGTAGCGATTTAGCGAGTTTCCCATCGCCGGCTTCCTGGTCTTGGCAACGGAAAGTACACGAGCGAGACTGTACCCACCAAAGTCTCTCAACAACACTTTTAACAGAGTGTCCTTGATGAACCCTTCCGTTTTCTCATTCTTCTTGTTGAGTAGCTCGATGAAAAGATTCAGCGTGCCGAGGATCGAATCCGTGAAAAAGCTGGGCCCGGAGATATTCTCTTTTAAGGAGTTGGAGCACTTCATCGGGAGAATACTTCCCATCTTCAATCCAGCCGCTCACCCTCACTGTCAATTTCTTCTGACCTCCAGCTTCTTCCGAGTATCTAGTTCTTGTCCGGTAGGCTCAATACTGGCTCCGTTCCGCGCCGCACCACCTTCTTCCATCACGGGTCTGCCGGAGATCTTGGGGTCTTGGTTGGCATGAATCTCGGAAGCTTGAACATCTGCGCCGGAGATCTTGGGATGTTGGTACGCGAGAATCTCGGAAACTCGAACATCCGCTCCGTCTTCGAACTGCTTGAGAGATTTGACAAGAGCTGGACGATAATCGGGTCCGGTGTAACCAAGCATCACCTCCCCTTTCGGTGCCAAGAATTCACCCGCCCGTGTTGCCGCAAGGTTAGGCATGCTAATCATCCTATCTTCGTTGTCCGTGGTGTCGCTCGTTTTCGGAAACCGCTTGACAGGCTTCTCGCCGCCGTTCTCAGCCTCAGAACGAAGTGCAATCGCAGAAATTACGCTGCACGTCACAACCGCTGTGGAAATCAGGAGGATAGATGATGCGAGTCGCATCTTGATGCAAGGTTATCCTTATTTACGTTATGGAGTGATAGCAACGGAGGAGATTTCGTTATGGCTGAAAATTGGATGCAAGCAAAGCTGTTTGGTCAATTGGTATTGTATTAGCGGTACAATACCAGTCGAAAGTGCGGGAGGTCCACACACACTATGCGTACCAGTCACGGCCGCTAATGGCCGTCGTCTGGCATCCACCTCATTCATGGACCAGCCCACAAATCAGTCGCCCTCCAGACCAGCAATATGGAGCTCTTTAGCGATTGTTATGGGCAAAGAAGACGTGCATGCAAAGGCTATGCAGGGTTCCCTCCGATTTGTTATCTACAAAAGCCATAACCATTCAGCAGGTCATTGACCTGGGGTCCCAAGACCTCGTTCTGCGCTGGCTAAATTTTAAGCTACAGCTAGAAACTGAAAACTCGTACCTTTGAAATAAACTCCGTACAAAGTTTAGCTTCTTGTATAGCCAATAGGATGCGATTA